AAATTAACTTCCTTCAATTGTTATTTAGAACGTCTATTACGAGTACCTTATCCATTGAAACTACAATAGAGAACTTAACACAATAAAAACATAGCTCATCAACACCAATTATTGATCACAGTTTGTAACGGTTACTCTTCTAGTACCGTTATTTCTTAATATTTTATAACTATATTTTTAGAATGATTGTCCCATCTCTATTAGGACCGATAGTTTCATTCTTTCGCTACAAATATTTTATATAGTTATTTTTTGTTTTTTAAAAAGTTGTATGTTCGGATCGAAAGTGAATTTCGACAGGTATTACTTGAAAAAGTCTTTTACAATAATACCTCAGAACGAGTCAGTCGAGATTATTAAATCTGCTAATATTTAAGCAATCTTAAACAGTATGTGATATTTTTATTAGTGGTGAGAACCATCAGTATTTCATGGTGAGTAGAAGATTAATATTTACAAGATTTCTGCAAAGATTAACGAAATGGGTCGAGATTTATTTAGTTGTTAAAAATGTGAGGTTAGATGTTTTAGACGTGTCATTAATTTCTGTAAAGATTATTTTTTTATTCATTATGTGTTCAGAAACATCTTACCTCCTTGGTTCCTTATTTTTCCTTTTACATAAACTTCAAAAGGTCTCAATCTTTTATATAAATACAACATTTATAACTAACCCTATACCTGTAGAGGCTAGCATTACCAAGTATATGTCACTTACCTATATTGGAAATATTTCTTATAAAGTCTCTAATATCCTCAAAAATCACTTCAAAATTTCTTTTAAATCCTTCAACTCAATTAGTAACTTTTTCATCAAGAATAAAGATAAAGTGGACATCATGGATTAACCAGGCATATATGAACTCAGTTGTAAGTCTTGCCCAGCCAAATATGTAGGTAGAACCTTTCGTAATTTTAGGACTAGACTTTAAGAACATTTAAGATGTTTGAATACTGCCACAACCGGCTTCTCACATTTTGCCACCCATCTAGTAAAGTCCAATCACGATTTTGACTCAGGGGATGGCTTTAGGGTACTCCACATTTGCCACAACAAGTTGATATTAAATAATTTAGAGAACCTAGAAATATTTAGATAAGAAAAAGTAACCAATGCATTATCACTAAACTCACAAGTCTTTTCCGAATCCACACCCACGTTCTCAGTTCTTTTTTTAAAAATCTACGTTTTCCCTTAAATTACCCCCTTTTACTTAAAATCTCCCTATGGAAATTCTATTGACTTTAATTATTAGTTATACTTATCTATTCCCTATTTTTACTCTGTCTCCATTTCCGTTTTCATTTTTTAGCACATTACTTCAAAAAAGAACTAACCAAATCAATAGTTTTCTCTTTTTTTCGTTTTCTCTTTCTTTCTTTCCTTTAATACCACTTTCCTTCCTTTTTCGTGATATGTTACCAACCTCTTAATTTGAACATTTAAGTACATCTAAAAATTATTTTCCGACGCTAATGCTAGACTCTACGTGTAACAATAATAATTAATTTATTTCATTTTGTTTATTATTACATACAAATTCAAATAATTCATTTTTTAAACCTATATTATTAATTAAGAAACATTTATTTCTCCAACGCCATCTATTAGCCGATGTCAAAATATTAAAATCTGACAACCTCTAAACTGTTTTTCTTAAATATTAGAATTGTTAATTCGTCTATTTATATCTAGAGTGCGTTAATTAGTATCTTTAATCTAAAATAAAAAATTATACCTTCAGAATTATAAACACTTCATATTGTCTAAGAGCCCATTTTAGTTCTTGTAGGGTTTAAAAAAGTTTTAAATTTGTTTTGTCTTAATGTCTGTCCGTTCGAGAAATATTTTAATAATTTTAATTAATAGTTTTAGACCTATTTGTGTTTTGACATCAACTTTTGTTGCAATTACTGTTTTTATGCATTTCTTAAAAAAATACTCGCATACTTGTTTTTTTACACCGACCCTGTGATAATCTCTAAGCTTAGTCTTAAATAGATGAGTAATACGGGTGAGTTCTTGATATTTGACAACTTTCATAATTTTTTAAACCCACTTTATTATGTTATGAGCTCATTCGTTTTTACCTATCTATTTTAGACCATACCTGATGATGAGGATCTGATCTCCTCGAAACCGGTCGTATTAAATACTCTTGTGAGATCTTAAGGACCACCCTTGTTTTATTTACCTCTTTTTTGAACATATAACTCACACATGGCTACCACCTCAACTTTAATTATACAATATTTGTTTCAAGAAAACGTTGTGTTTCTTTAATATTCAAAGGTTTTTAATTGCGCCGAATAAACCCCCCCATATAGTTCATAGCCACGAAGCCCATTTTAAGGCAATAGAGTCCTTACACGATTGAGGTCTGAATTTGTATATTTTGATTGATAACTTCACAATAGTCCCACAATTATAAAAACACGCATAACGTGACATTCTTTATATAAAAACACGCTTAACGTGACAAATATTAAATAAAAAAACGAGAGGTATTTCCGTCCTGTGGATAACATGCCCCCATTCAAAAAAGTATAATGCATTTTTTATGCAAATAAAAATTACTTCTAAGCGATATTATCGAATCAATACGGTATTGAACGCAATTTTTT